CCAGTGCAGAGCGGTCAGCCCTCCTTCCTCTCCTTGGCTCCAATTTGACTTAATATGCCAACCTCAGACGGCTTCACTTACTGCTATTCCATCGACCTCTCGGAGCGGCTAGCACTGAAGCTCGATCAGACGTTCCCCTTCAGCATGATGAGGAAGGTATCAGCGTTCAAGTACATCTCGGGGTCGGTGGCGGAAAGACGGGCAGCCCAGAGCCGGAAGTAAGTTACAGAAGCCTTTCGTCTTGTTCTTAGAGCAGTTCCAGGGCTACAGAGAGGGTTTCTGCTCTAGTGCCGGGGGAGTCAGAGGTGAGGGTGTGGCCAGCACTGGTCCAGTGGCTTTGAAAAAGCTATGTGTTAAATATCTTCTGACTGAATTCTGCACAGTTGTGTCTGAAGGAGGGGCTGACAAGGAATAGGAAAGGTAAGGCGTTTGAGGACCCTTGAATGTGAACCTGAGGAAATTGGTATTAAACAGTCCTCAGCACTGAAAGGGAGCTTTCCTGGCCCGGTGGATAAGGAGTTATGTTGTCAGTCCAAAGGTGTGTAGTTTGAATCTACTAGCTGCCCCAGGGGTGGGCAAAGGTGCAGTTTACAGCCTCTTAAAATAAGCCATTTATAGCCTCTTAAAATGCCTTGGAGGACCACCTGTGAGTTGGTCCCAACTCAGTGACCTGTAACCACGGCACTAGAAGCCCTCTTTGCAGGCTGGGCTGGCTTTGGGCTGACAGCACGGGCTTGCTCAGGAAGGTCCTGAGGGCAGCGTTTTCTTGGTCACCCAGCAGGATTAGGTGGGGTTTATTGTCTCTCATCCAGTCCTCCGTAACACACATGAGCTGAGTGCCCGGCGGCTGCCAGGACCAGCCAGGTAGCCTCGCTGCTCCCTTTTATAGAGAAGGTCCAGAGAGACGAGGTGTCCTCTGCAGGTGAGCAGGGTAGGTGTGAGTGGAGAGTCCAGGCTGGAGCTAGAGTCACCAGCAGCCCACTCACGCCCTGTGACAGCACCGTCCTCTCGTGTTCCTCATGGGTTTCGGCCATGCTGAGACTTCACAGATTGGGGGTTCCTTTTCCACCGAAGAGCTCACTGCGAAGCCTGACTGCTTTGTCAGTGGCCTTTCCCACCCTCACCAGCTCGCTCGCCCTGTCTCTCTCTCACACACACACACACACACACACACACACGCACGCACGCACGCACGCATGCGTGCGCACCTAATTTGTAAAATGCATACAAATCTAATTCAGTTACCAAATGCAAACATCAGTGTTTTAACAAAAAGCTTTAGAATGCATCTTCCTGCAGCCTCGGGTGTCTGGGGTGGAGTTTTCGGCCTCAGCACACACAGCTCCCCACGTCTAGCTGCCAGGGTCCTACCCCTGGGGGTTTGAACTGTATGTCTTCTTCCATCAGATTTGCTTTACTTTCAGCTCTGTGTGAACCCTAGAGGGACAGGCTTAGTCTTTCAGATGTCTGTCCAAGTCGTAGGTTAAAAAAATCTCACTGCAGAGGGCCCTGGGAGCAAGCCCTAGATTGTTCTGTTGACGCGTCATCCACAGTGGTTCTCTGAGCTGGCCACATGGGCACCGACTGCCGGGGTCTCACCCCTCTCTGGGCTGTGGGCTGCTTGCTCGTCAGTGACCCCTCGAGTGCATTCAGCAGGCTCAGGACCACATCGCACCGCTGACTTGCTGGATGATGTTGAGTGGGCCCTTCCCTGGGCCTCTGCTCTCTGTTAAGATTCTCACTCTCTTCATTTGGCACTTTGAGCTCGTCATAGACAATCAAAGGCATGCTGCAGTAAAAAGCCGTAAGCAATTACAAGGCTAATGGTACCTGCTGTGTGACTGGTTTTTCTGTTCCAGGCTGAATCCTGTGCCCGGCTCCTACCCAACACAGAGCTGCCACCCTCACCTGTCCCCAGGCCACCCTGTCACCCAGATGCAATACGCCAATGGCCAGAAACTCGGTTCCTGGCCAGCCTGCGCGCCTGGGCACATGCCCCCTCTGCCTCCGTACCAGCCCACCTCCGGCCTGTATCATGTACAGAACCATTTTGGCTCTGCCCCTAGCTCTTCTGGTCCTAACTCCTCTGGTGGCTACCCGGCCTCAGCAGGGGCCTCCCTGGGGCCCCAGCCCCCTACCCCCCTCAGCTACACTGGCACCGTGTACCATGGGTCCCCCAGCACTCCAGCCTCTGCTGGTCCCCAGGAGAGCTCAAGGGTTCCAGTTCCCTGAGGGAGAATTTCTAGAATGGTGACCTCACATCTTGGCCTTTTGGAAATATCTTTTCTGAGCTAAGCTATTTCTGATTTTTAAAAAGTTATTTATTGAACACCTATGTGCCAGGCTCTGTGCTGAGTACTTTGATAAATGTCATCCTCTCTTTGTCCTAAAACAACTTTGTGAAGTGCTGTTCATTGTCCCCAGCTTGCAGGTGAAGCAAGTGTGACATGTGATTGGACACAGTCACAGAGCTCCTTGGTGGCATGTCTGGGCTCTTGGCTCAGGGTCCAGAGCTCTGCCCATGCTGCCTGGCACAGTGGCGGCTGGTGGTGGTGCCAGCCGGTGGTGGCGCAGTGTGCCTCTTTCCTGTCATACGTGCAGTGTTTGGTGACGTAGTGTCCTTGTGTTTGTGTCTGCCCCGCGGGAGCGCCCAGCTGGTGGTCCCTGGCCTGTGTGACAAGTATCCTGTCCCTGATTCTTCACCCCAGAGGGGTGAGACGGGCTGATGTGAACTGCAGTGTGCCGATGCACCCGGAGTGTCGATTACCTTTGTATAAAGAAACTGCTTCGAACTTGTCGTGCTGTTTCCTTTACTTGTGGCCCAATGGCCACTCTGGAGAGCGCCGAGGTTTGGGCAGGGGAAAAGGCGAGGTTTGGGGGACCCGGTCAAGAAAACCACCCACATTGCTGGTCTCTAATGTGGGAAAAATGGGTGACGGGCTGAGGTCGCTCAGAGGGTGAACAAGAAGATGGGGTGACTCAGAGGTTGACAGCAGCAGGAAGCCACCACTGCCCGTGGGGCACTGTTGCCACAAGAGGGATACGCAGGCACTCATGGTGCCACCAGCAGAGGTAAAGCACTGAAGCAGGAAGAAGGAAAGAAGCCAGCCGCCACCATGACCTGCCATTATCTAGCCAGGGGCCAAGACCAAGGGTTGCAGTTTGCAAGGCTTAGCCCTTCTGTGGTAAAAGACAGGACAGGGAACATGGTGGGAGGCAGCCTGGCAGTCCCCGAGCGGGCTCCTCCCTGCAGCCAGCCCGCAGAACCTGGGCCCCTTGCGGTGGGGCTCATGTCAGAGCACCCTGCCGTTCTGCCAGGAGCGTCCATGTCGAGTCTGTGCCCTCCACTGCTCGGAGCTGCCCTTTGGCTCGGTCCTAGCTATTGAAAGATGATGACGCACAGACGTGCACACTTGGCTTGAGACAGGCATCCTGTGGGCCAGGGGCGGGCAGGCGTGGGCACAGTGAACAGAGAGGGATGGTGATGCTCAAGCGGGCTCAGGAAGGAGGATTTGCCAGCCCAGCGATCTGGCTCCAGATTGCAGTTGGTGTGTCCTGCGCTTGCGGGTCGGCCTCGCTGGCTCCCGCAGCGTTCAGCATCTTCCGTCCTGCCTCTCAGCGCAGGTGTGTGTTCCTTAGATGCCTCCTGCCTGCTCCGTACCCAGGTGCAGGTGAGGGCGGTATCTGTGCCCAGTGTGGCAGGGCCACCTGTTGGGTCCCTTAGTCTCCCCATATGGGCGGGCTGGCTGGCTGGAGCTGCAGGCTGTGGTCAGAAAGATCTCAGAGAAGCCCAGCTGTGAGGACCCTCCGAGGTCATTCAGTCCAACTGTCCCTGCCACTGTTTCATAAATGGGCTCCAGGAGGCAGGATGGGTACGACAGGCAGCTGGCACCAGTCCGACTCAGGACCTCTGCTCGAACTGCTACTCACAGTGGGTGCTTAGAAGTACTCATTCCCGTGCCTGGCCGCAGCCTAGAGTCAGGTCAGAGTGGGCCTGAGCCTCCCTCCCAGATCCCAGTCCTCTCCCTCATTTGCCCAAGTGTGTCCAGAAACATTGAATTGGTGCCAGGCTTCAGGCTGGGGCCAGAGATGAAGAAAGTTCCTCAAGTACAACAACTGGTCAATTTCCAACTTAAACGGTAAGGAGTTAGGCTGCCAACCCAAAGACAGGTAGTTTGAATCCACCAGCTGCTCCGTAAGAGAAAGACAGGCAATCTCCTCCGGCGTGATTTACAGCCTGAAAACCCGTTGGAGGGTCAGCTATGAGTCAGTTCCAACTCAACAGCACTACCACCACCCAGGTCTTAACACTAAGAAAAAGAACAAATTGTTGAATGACTTATTAGAGGACTCAACTGTGTGAGAGATGATGAGGATGGCACAGGCGAGGACACCCGTCACTCTTGTTCCTAGGATACCTGTCCTTCGGGAGCTCAGAGCAATGAGGAGAAAGCTGTAATAAGGAGCAGTGCGTTTCAGGAGCTGGAACAGTGGGGTAGGAGCTATGGAGCAAGGCAGGCGCTGACTGTGCCTCTTGCCTGCAAGCCCTGGGTCGTGAGCTCTAATGTTAGCGGAATAGCACACACAGCACATCTGAGAGTCAGAGTTTAACCCTCAGTCCCCTCCTCCCATCCCTAAGGCAACCAGAGCAGCTTCCAGAGGTCGCGTCCCTACTTGGGCAGCAGGGGGCAGCAGGGAGGCAGAATTGCATCCCCTGCAAACTGCCTGGACAAAGCTGTGCTCACAGCCCACGGTTACAGAGGAAAGCGGCTGACTCCTGTTCCAAGAAACCCTCGCAGCAGTGTGAGGAGACCAGCTGCGCAGATAACTGCAGCATAAGGTGAGGGCTGTGTGTGCACACAGCTCTTTGTTCTTTCCGTTAATGGTCAATGACGGACATCCTGGCCTGTGCTGGCCTCTGTGGGTACAAAAGGGGAAAAGGACCCACCTGGGAGCAGGGTCAGACCTTTCTCAGGGATCTGGACATGGTGGGGCTCAAAACACTGCAGTGACCTAGGATCTGGAGGTGGCATGGAGGTCACTCAGAAGCCAAGCTTGAGGTCCAGTTTGGGGGTACCACACTTGCGGCTCAAGAGTTGCCCAGGGAATGGGGGCCAAGCAGATCTCCCCATAGGCCTCAGGAGTCATGGAGCCAGCCCTCCCCCACAAACTCCCTCCAAGGCCATGTGGCTAATAAATAACCCCCTCCTCTGGATGCTCTCCTGCCTCCAGCCCTCCTCTGGTCTCTCCCCACCCCACTCACCTGGGAGTGGAGCAGGCCCATAAGGAAGAAACGCTGGACTTGAAGTGAGTAAACTGGTTTCCAGACCCCTGGCTTAGCAGGGCAATCACCTTGTGCTCTAAGTTCTTTCCATCCTATCCAGCTCCACTGTCAGCACCTCAGCCCACCTCTTCTAAAACTGGCAGGGACTGTTGCATTGTGGACGGTTGCATCACCGATGATTGCATTGTGGATGATTGCGTCTTGGACTGTTGCATTGTGGATGATTACATCGTGGACGGTTGCATTGTGGACTGTTGCGTCATGGACTGTGACGTCGTGGACTCTTATGTTGTGGGCTACTGCATCATCATGGTCTTAGCTGCCCTCTGGTGCCCACACTCTCTCTGCCCCCTGCCTTTCCCCGTCTTCCTGGCCCTTGCTGGTAACCGCTGCCTTCTGAGAAGTCTGTCTCTGGTGCCTTGGTGAGGCTCCCACTACACCTCTCTGTGCTTCTGTTTCTCTTGCACCAAAGCCTGTGCCTTCCTCAGTGAATTGTGCATGTGTACACACACACACACACACACACACACACACACACACACACACCCTGATACATGTCCAGGTAAACACAGATTCAAGCCTTTGAATTCACAAAGCCAGGATCTCCCCCACAAATCAGTTCAAGTTTCAACAGGTAGATACATACCCACAAAAAAGCACACACACAATAAGTCCTGCACTGACATAGATTTTTTTTTTGTACCTTTACACAAACACACAGGAAGTTCATGCCCTTGGAAATGTTACTACACAGAGCAGAGCACTCAGGCGGGAACTTCCCACCTTCCTTTTCTCTACCCCTAAGCATGGCTCAGTTTGTCCCTACTCTATTTCCCAATCCTGTCTCCCCAGCTCTGCTGCCTTCCCCAAAAACGTCTTCCAGAGGGACTGTGACCAGTCGTCACATGTCAGGAGCAAGGCAACAGGAAAATGGCCCAGAAATCCCCTTTCATCTGTGTATCATGCAATGCCTGGGATCCCACTGCTATCAAGGACACTTTCCCAAATGCTGAGGGAGCGCTGGAAAAGATCTTCCGTCCACCCCTTCACACTGCATAGGGGGCCTAATGCCCGAAGAAGGGAAGTTACTTGGTTAGGTCCAAACAGGAAACCCAACACAGATCCCGCTCAGAACCCAGGGCTCCTGGCTTTTCTTGGCTTTGTGACAATATCTGTTGGAGGTGTCATCCAATCAACAGCTGGAACCCCAAGAAGGCCTAAGCAGGGGTTTTCATCCTGTCCAGCAGACATCAGGAGCTTGGGCAGAGGCAGACACTGGGGCCTCAGTGTATGACAGGCCCTCTCCATGTCACATTGGTGGGGCCATCCTGACACCCACCTTCTTCCAACAGAAATTCCTGCAGAGGGAGGTGGTGGAGGCACATCAAACCCTCCCAAGGTGGGTGGAGACTTGAGAGAGACCAGGAGCTTGGGAAGAGCCACTCAGACCTCTTCTCTCATCAGGGTAGGCCAGGCCCTGGAGGCAGGACAGGCCCCCACCCCCCACCCCGGCAGAATAGGCCCCCTGGTGAAGCCTGGCCCAATCTTCCCTGAGGAAGAAGGGGCCCTCCCTCATCAACCCTCCAACCCTCCATCTCAGCAGGCTCCCACCCCCAAACTCGGTCCCTGCAGCCCCTGTGGAGTTATTGGAACCGCTGCCACCTCCTCCATTCACTCATCTCAAAGGAGATTTTAGCAGAAACTTGCAGGACCAAGTAGACACGCTCTCCCCACCTCACCCAGCCCTGTCCCTTCCCCCAGCAGGGACACTGCTGGACCCTCAGCCTAGCGGAGACCTCACCCAGAAAGAAGCACATCAGGGTGACCAGAAAAGCAGAAGCAGCAGGCTGTCCCCCCTCATTTCACATAGCTCCAAGAGCAACCACCCATCTCCTGGCCCACCCCCCAGTCCCCACCCTCTCAGCCCAGCACCTCCAGTCTCAGCTTC